GTGCTGGGGGATTGAACCGCGGTCCCTGTGCTTTGCTAAGCTTGTTGTAAGTAGGTGCTTTAGACCACTGAGCCATCTCACCAGCCCCGACACCATCTCTTTAAATTGCTAAATTGCCTCAATTGGATTTGCACTTAGGATCCTCCTGTCTCAGCCTCCCAGAGTGCTGGGATTACAGGCACGCGCCACCACGCCAGTTGATGCATGCACTTCTATGCCCAGAGAGCCTGCTATTCTGGGCCAGGCCCTGCGTGGACATTGGAGGTACGGACAAAAGCCAGCAGCAGCCCTTGCCCTTGGGGAAAACACTCCTTGCGCCCACATCCTGAAGCCAGTGGGACCCGAGGCCTGTGGAAGCAGAGTGGCCATCAAGGAAGGCCTCTTGGGGAGATGCCTGAGAATCCAACCTTGAAGGGTGACCAGGCAAGCCTGACATCAGAGGGGCCTCCCAGAGCACAGACAAGTCTCTTTCTTCTCTGTGCTCCCCAAGGCTGGCACCTGATTGGCAATGATAAATGTCTGTCTGTTAATTGAACATGTGGACTGACAGCCAGTCAGGGGCCGCTCAACAATGGCGGGGGCCATGATGCAGCCACCTCCAAAGGCCCTGCACCTCTGCTGGTTCTTCTGTCTCTCTCGGTTTTCCTAAGAGAACAGCATTCTCATCTGCATCTCTCCACTGGCTATCACGCCCACAGTCCCTCTGGGACACACACACACACACACACACACACACACACACACACACAGGCAAAGAAACACACCTACCTCCAGAATGTGCCTCAGCTGTTGATTCCAAAACCAAGGCCACCATGTCATTGCCTACAGTCAGCTGTCTCCCACTTTGGTGCCCACACACTCTCCCCCTCTCCCCACTGCATCACAAAACAGACACACACACACACACACACACACACACACACTCCACAACCACACAACCCTCCCACAAGCTCCTCTTACTATCCAGATGAGAGTTTCCTGGTCCTTGGCTTAAGGCCAAAGAAGTAAAGGGGAGGGAAAACCAACCCAGGATGGGTAGGGGTCAGGGATTCTTATCAGAAAAGGCTGAACTGTGATAAAGTAATAAGATGGGTGTGTGGCTGTGGGCTGAGGTCAGATTATTCTAAAAAGCAGTTTCCTAAAGTCAGGGTCTCCCCCTGTTTCCACCCCAAATATGCCTGTCCCTCAGTGCCAGCCACCGAGGAAAAGCTAGCAAGGTGGTAACAGGATCCACAGTGGCTCTGGTGACAGCTGGCTGTGCGAACTTGGGTAAGGCCAGTCCTGACCTGGTCACCGGTTTTCCCAGCGGATAAAAGAGTGGGGTGATGCGCTGCATAGTGACAGAGAAAGTCTCCCCTCTGCGGCTACGGTTCCAAGTGAGCAAATGCCTCTAGGGGTGGGGAGCCTTCCCCTTCGAGGGTCTGGGGAAGGCGCTGGGGTACAGGGAGAGGGCTGGGGAGAACCGAACCCGTAATCCCGGGAGGGCGGGAAGAGGGGCAGGCGGGCCTGGGATCTGGGGGCCCCTCCCCGCTGCAGGCAGCTGGCTTGGGGCTGGGGCGTGACTGCGAATTCTCCCCGCCGCCGCTGCAGCCGCTGCCGCTACCGCAAGAAGAGAAGTTCGAAGCGGCTTCCTCCTCCCTGCCCTGAGGGGGCGGCTGGCAGAGGCGGGCAGCACCCCAGTTCCCCCCACGTCGTCGGCACTTGTGGCTGCTGGAAGCCCGGGCTTACTCGCCCCAGCTCCATCAGAAGCGAGCTCCCTCGAACCAGGTAGGCGGCCCGCACAGGTGGGCTTGAGGGTGCAGAGTGTGCTCTGGCCCGGCCGCCCGCCCCGACCTGCAGAGCCGGCCGGGGAAGCAAGTCTGAACTTTGGGAGACCCGAGGACGGTTACGACCAGGGGATCCCATCCCGAAAAGGGCGAAGGAGGAAGACTGAGGAGACCTGGGAAGTGAGACTGATAAAAGTTGGGAATAAGGTTGAGACCACATGGGAAAAATGGGATAAAGGGACCCCAAAAAGGTCTGATGGGGAAGCCGAGGGATCTCTAGGATGAGGTTGGTGAATTGGAAGGGCTGAGAGTGAATAGAACGGACTACCGGGCCCTCCAAAAGGGTTTGGGGGAGAAACTGGAGGGGGAACTTGAGAGTGAGAAGTGGGGAGAAGCTGAGGGACCTGGCAGAGGGGGATTAGGCAAGGGTCCTGGGGAGATCAGGTGAGGCAGTGCGAGAGGAGGGTCTTGGAGAGTGGGACCCGGTTCCAGGGGTCTGCAGGATCTGCCTATCCCAAACAGGCAGAAGTCATGGTGATGCCTGGCGCCAACAGGGTAGAGGAGACAGAGGCCACCGCCCCCAGACCTCCAAGCCTTGCAGAGGTGGGCGAGCTCTGGACGGCAGGGGACTCCTTCCAAGCGCTGAAGGCCTGGGGCGGCTTCCTGGGGAAGTCCCCGCCCTCAGCAGGGAAGGCCCTCCCTGGATCCCCGATCCCGCCCGGCCGAGGTCTCCTGGGGATCCGGGAATTGCTGGCCCCCTAGACGGAAATCCTGCCTTTGACCGCGAATGCCTGGAAGGGACGTCCCCATAGCAACGAGAGGGCGGAGAGGCCAGCCTGCTGGACAACTAAGCACTCAGTGCTGGCTGTCCCTTTTGGTTCCCGCCTTCGCCTCCATTTTGGGTCTGGGGGGTGTGAAACGCCCAACCGAGCTGCCAGCCAGGGAGACGGTGATGCTCCGTATTTAGGGATCTTGGGGTAGAGGATCTGCAGTCTCAGAGACCTGGGTCCTGAGCAAGACCTGGGCCCTTAATTGCTGTGTGACTGCAGGAAAGTTAACAAGCTTCTCTGGGTCTGTAGAAATTACCCTTCCCCATGTGACTCCCCAGAAAGCAGTTTTACAAAAGGGGTAAGCGTCATCACTGACCCAGCGAACCCTTCTTTCACCTTCTCAAAACATGGGTGGGACCAGGAAGACTGGATCTCACTGATAGGGCCTCCAAGGACCAGCTTGACGCTGGCATCTAACAAGGAAATATCTGTTGAGGCTCCATCCTGGAGAGATAAGCAGGATTGAGATGTGTCCTCCACCGCATGGTACCATGCTGTTGTCACCCCTTAGGGAGCCATTAGCGTTCTTCTGTCTGCGGTGGAAATGGGAGAGCAAGTGCTCTGTTCCCGTATCATAGATGGGAAGGTGGAGGTTTGGGGGTCAGCGGCCAAGGCCCCCAGTCTGGGGCATCCCATCTTGATATGACAGAGGAGGTAGCCAGAGCTGGGCCTGAGTCCCCAGCTCATCCTTGCCCAACCTGAGGTGGCCCTCAGTGGGGGTTGGGGTGAGGAAGGGGTGGACTTCCTGGGCCTCGCAGCCCGCCCGCTTCTGCTGGGCAGAGGGCAGAGGGCGTGAAGCTGTGAGTGGAGGTGGAGGTGTGAGAGCATCTGCAAGTATGCTTCAGAAGGCTGAGCCAGTGAGCTTACTGTGGGCATCCCAGTGGTCTCTGCTGTCTCTTGGGGCTGCTGTGGCAGAGGAAGTGTCACAGGGTAGGTAAAGGAACCCAGAGCTGGGGAAGGAAGGAAGAGTCAACCCCCTTTCCACATGAAATGACTAAGGGGGGCTCGAGGTGGAAGAAAGCAAGATGCCCCCACCCCACACCCAAGCTCTTAAAGGACCCTGTGGTCAGAGTGTCCCATCCGCTACACCGTGGACTTTTCTCTCCGCTCCTTGAGGCTCTCGCATGTTCTCATCCCAAACCCCAGGCCAGGTGGACATAAAGACCTTGGTTTGGAGCCCATGGGGTGGCTTTGGCAATGGGTAGAAAACCACATTTTTACTCAGATGCTCTGAGCTGATACCCTCAGGACCATGTGGAGGGTAGAGCTAGTAGGTCACATAGGTGACTGGCTCTTGATCATCTTGTCCCAGCTCCAGGCATCCGGGATAGGGTGGATCTTGAGGTCTCAAGAACCAACAGAGTGAGATGGAAGAGAGGTTACTGAGAGGTGCAGTTTCAGGGAGAGACAGGACTATAATTCCAGCTACAGTGACAGGACTGTGGGTGAGGACAGGACCCCACACGATCAGGACCCAGGCCAGCCCCCGCCTAGCACAGCCCTGGAGAGAAGCCGGAACTCTTGCAGGATGGTGGTTTCCTGCTGCTGCCTGAAGTCCCAGTTCCCTTTTGGTGGACTCTCCAGGCCTCCCTGGCAGGCCTGGCCCTCTACCTAGCCTGAGAACTTCTCTTTCTTCTCAGCTCTGGCCAACCCTGCACCCCTGCTCATCTCCTCCCTGCCTTTTTAGGGTCTTCATCAAAGGGAAAGGAGGGAAGCATCTACTAAATACTGATGTTTTGTGGGCCTTTTATTTGATGCTCAGGAACAACTCCATGTGGTAGAGATTTGTATTCCTTTGTTTTGTTTTGTTTTGTTTTGTTTTGTTTTGTTTTGTTTTACTTCATACTGGGGATTGAACGAGAGCCTACTCATTCAGCAACATCTCTATCCCTTCGATTTCTTTCTTTTCTTAAATTTTGAAACAAGGCCTCACTAAGCACTAAGTTGTCCAGGCTAGGCTTTAATTTACTATCCTCCTGCCTCCACCTCCCAGTGTTGGGGTTGCAGGTATGTGCCCTCACACCTGACTCATATTCCTATTTTGCAGGCGAAAAAATTGCAACTCAGAGAGATGAATAGTCTTGCCCAGTATCTCAAGCTAGTGGGGGGGGGGGGGTACAGAGGGATAGAATTTGAGCCTAAATCTTTTTCTGGATCCTCAGATGTTTAGCAGGGTTTCAGAAAATCAGGACATCCTGTGTCTACATCAAAACTTTGGCGTGGCTTTGGGAAGTGTGGCCCTCAAGGAAAGATGTGGGCTGGGCCCTGTGATGTATACTTGTAATTACAGCTATTTAACAGGCAGGGAGATCACAGGTCCAAGACCAGCCTGGGCAACTTAGGGATACCCTGTTTCAAAAGAAAATTTAAAACAGCTGGGGAGATAGTTGAGTGGCATAAGTGCCTGCCTGGCAAGTGTAAGGTCCTGACTTTGAGCCCCACCACCAACAACAAAAAAAGGCTGGGGATATACCTGAGTGGTAGAGTGCTCATGGGTTTAACCCCTAGAACCCCCTCCAAACAAATAAAGAAAAGAAATGAAGTAAAAGGAAAGAGAAAAGGGGCCGGGGAGATGGTTCAGTAGAATAAGTGCTTGCCTGGCAAGCTCAAGGGCCTGAGTTCAATCCTCAGTTCCACCAAAAAAAGGAAAGAGAAAAAGAAAAACTGAGTGAGCCTGGGGCTCCTGTGACCAGATGTAGGGTGGGTGAGAGGCAGGGCCACTGCCAGATGGACAGTTTCTGGACAAGAGCAGTGGTGTGTTCAGCTGGTTGGAAGTGACATTTGCCAGTCGGGGACAGCATGATGTGCAGGTTCTGGAGAACACAGTCAATGCCAGGAACAGAACTCTGGACCCAAATTAGTAGTCTCAGCATTGAACCTTCTGCCTGGCTATGTGACCTTGGAGCAAGTCACCCCTCCCCAGCTACATACACACAAGAGGCAGATGGACTGATAAGTGTCCCTGGGGGCCGTTTTACTCCTCCACTTGTGGCTCTCAGCCTCATTCGGTCACTGCACAGCAAGCAAGTGCCTCATCTCACCCAGCCCACCCAGCTGCTCTGCACAGAAGGTGCAGCAAGACATTCACCCAAGGCTACAGCACTTCCAAAGAACTGAGCTGGGTGGCGGCCAGAGGTGGCGGTGCATGCCTATAATCCTAGCGGTGCATGCCTATAATCCTAGCACTGGGGAGGCTGGGGCAGGAGAATTTCTGTGAGTTTGAGGCCAGCCTGAACTACGTGGTGAAACTGTTTCAAAAAAGACCAACTCCCCCCAAAAAACATCAGGATGGGGAGTGCTGCACAGAGGTCCAGAGTTGGAGCATAGCTGTGACACCCATAACCTAATGGGTCTCTGGGAGCCAATTTCTGTCAGCCAGATGTTCAAGAGACGTATTTGGAGCTGAGAGTATAGCTAAGTGGTAGAGTGTGTGCTTAGCATGCACGAAATACTGGGTTCGGTCCCCGACCCAAAATGGATGGGGAGAGAAAGAGACACATTCACAAATGGATTCAAGCCTCTGGAGTGCCCAGAATTCTCCTGGGCTCTCTAAGTTGCTCTCCTCCCAGTGTTCGCAGCCAGTGAAGTTCAGCGCTTCCAAAAGAAAGACTGCTTTCTTTCTCTGGGCCATACTTAGGTTTTTTGTTTTTTTGTTTGTTGCAGTATGGGGGATCAAACTTGGGACTTTGTACTTGCGAAGCAGGGGTTTATGCCTCTGAGCTCTCTCGCTGGCCCCATACCTAGGATTTATTTTTTTTTTATTTTAACATTTAGTGTGTGTGTGTGTGTGTGTGTGTGTGTGTGGCCAGCTCAGCCCACCAGGGGGCACGGCTGGCTAGCATGTGGTGCTGGGGGATTGAACCGCGGTTCCTGTGCTTTGCCAAGCTTGTTCCAAGTAGGTGCTTTAGACCACTGAGCCATCTCTCCAGCCCCCATACCTAGGATTTAGAGCGTGTAGCCCAGGGCCTGGAATGCAGTGGGCATTCCTAACAGCAGGCCTGCAAAATAGATCAGTGCCTAAGGTGGGCTTTGGAGTCAAATTGATTGGCACTGTATTTTAGGTTTTCTTACTCAAAACATAATCTTGAGCCAGCGACTTAACATCTCTGTGTTTCATCTGTATGTTCATCTGTACAAGAAGGGTTAAAAATAAAACCTACTTGGGGTTCGTGGTGTAGCTTAGTGGCAGAACACTTGGCTAACATGTGCAGGGCCCTGGGTTCCATCATAAGGGCTGCAAAGAAAAGAAAGAAAGAAAGAAAAAAAAAACCCTACTTCATAAGGTCACAAAATGAGATCATGCATAGGAATTGTTTGGCACAGTGCCAGCCACTGCATAAATGTTTAATAAATTAGCGCATTTTTACTAATAGCTATTACCACCCAGATTTCTAGGAAGTCCAATTACTCCCCATAGAAATGTTGGCACGTGGTTGGGACCAGAGGAAGGGGACAACGGAAGAGTCCTGGGGGCTGATTTCATGCGATGCCTAAGCAGAGAGGACCCAGCCTGCAGCTACCACCCTCCCTTTTGTGTTTTCTTGATCTGCTTAGCTCTCTCCTTCTCCCTCCTTCCCTTCGTCTCTGCCTTTCTCTTTTTCTGTTACTGTCTTTCTCTTGCTCTTCCTCTTTCCCTTGGGTTTCTGTCTCCACTTGTCTCTTTGTCTTTCTGGAAATGATGGGCTGGAGCCAGCTGGCACTGGCTACGGGGAGCTGATGCTGTGCATCCCTCCCTGGCCTGGCCTTCAGGAAGTCACTTTGGTAGCTTTAAATCAGCCATGGTGGGGGGGCGGGGGCTATTTACACTACAGAAATCAACAAATGTTACAGATCAGGGCTTGATGTTTTGTTTTCCTGGCAATCAGTTTACCAGCACACCACACTGGTTCTCTTTGTCCCTGTCTCTTCCATCTCTCTGTCCTGAGATCTCCCTGCATTTCTCAGTCTGTTTGTCTGTCTCTCAGACTGTCTGTGTGGGTCTCCCTCTCTCTCTTGCTGTCTCCTTCTAGCCCTTTGTCTCTTCAGAAGACACCACAAGTGTGGATCACATGCAGTGTGGTGCCTTCGTGCCTGGGGCCATGCAGGTGACAGACCCACTGTTCCACATCCCCAAGTCCCACAGCATTCTGGTCCCGGAGGCCAGGCCCAGCGAGGGCCCTCATGCCCTCAAGCCTGGCAGTAATAGAGCCCTGACAGCTGCCCACCTTTGCCTGCCGGCCACACTGTCAGCCCTGTTCCAGGAGCCCCGTATATACCAGGCATGCAGAATCTGGGGCTTCCCTTGGGCTGACACAGATATATTGTGGCAGTATGCACTTGGGTGTTATTGGAGGTGGCATGATTGTACCTATGTGTGGATCCCAGAGTTGTTTAAATTTGTGTCCTCCTCAGAGGAGCTCGGCGCTGGGCTGTGTCTCAAGGGGAGGGCTATGTATATCCATGGGTCCCTACGGGCTCTGCATTTGCTTGTGCTTTGGGGACTGGCTGCAACAGTCTTTGTCTGACAGGCAATGGAAAGAAGTGGTTGAGCACTCAGGTCCAAGAGTCAAAGGCAAAAGATACCATCTGTGTGACCTTGGACAACTTTCTAAGCCTCTCTGTGCCTCCATTATTTCATCTCTAATAATATTTAAAATCACAAGTTTGGGACTGGGGAGATGGCTCAGTGGAATAAGTGCTTGCCTGGCAAGCACAAGGGCCTGAGTTCAATCCCCGGTTCTGCCAAAAATAAATAAA